ACTAGCGGGACAAAAGGCTTTATCAATATGAGCTGGGTCTACTAATTTTTTGGTGTACATGGTCCACATTCGGACTACCTCGCTCAATCCAAGTTTAGTGCCTATCATCTGTGCTTTTTCACTACTGGTCCAACACTTGTACTCTAACCTCCGGTTTGGCGGCAAACGTGCCACACATTTGCCGACCAATAATTCAGCGATGCGTTCATTATCAGCATACAGGGGCTCAAAAAGATATTGACCCATATTTGTCTTATATAGGAAAGAATAGCCCACAACATGACCTTGGTCATCATTGGCTACTAGATTAATAGTTTCTGGGAGTTTATATAAGCTCTCAATGAGTACACTGCGGTCTAAACCGCTAACGTGTTTGTCGTATTCAATGACATCGCGGACATTGTGTCCATCGATGGTCACCAAAGAGATGCCATCGATATTATCAATAAGTTGTGGGTTAGAGGTAAGTAAACCGGCCATTATAATCACACGTCTGTCGGAAATATACCGGAAATTATGGACATCTCTGTAATACTCAAATGTATTTTGTTTAGACGATACAAGTCCGAGATTTCTGTCGCCCATGTGTTCAATAGTCTTAGCCCACAAAGCTTTTCCGATACCCCGACCCTGGTATTCTGGTCGTACAGCGTAAGCACCAATGTAGGCTAGATCCTCAGTCACATTTACACCACTCAAGTATCCCAACAGTTTTCCTGATCATAAAAATATCATTAATTAATCTACGACATTTTATATGTTAGATCTTGTAGTTTAGTATTAATATGATACTAAATTAAAACATATGAAATTTATTTTTAATTTAAATTATAATTTTTGTATTTAATATTTAAATTTTAATGATGTTATGTAGAAATATTATTAAATAAATATTAATTAATCTAGTTCAACAATCAAGAGTGATATACCGATGTCTATATCCTGGGCCACATACTGGGCGTTGGGGTCGATATTCATAATAACTTCTGAACGGTGTTTATGTATCGGAAAGCCGACGGACTCCCAGATTTCTCGCACTTCACGGCAATCGGATAATTGCATTTCACGCACTATATAATTGACCTTGGTATTTTTGTCACACATTGTCTATAAGAATATTAATATTAATAATAATTTTTAATAAATTAAGATTCAAGAAGTATATATAGAATTATATTTAATTATTTTATTACAGCAAAATAAAACTAAAATAAATACACAGAATTAATCGAAAAATATGTTATTAATTGACATTGAGTATGAAGGCTAAATTATTTTATCTATCCTTGTATCAATATGTTTTATAAATAAATAAGTTTTATTTGTTTGTTATTTCTACTTTTTGTAATTTATTAAATATTTCTATTAATTTTTGTTAATTATTACTTGAATAATAAACCAGTAACCACTAGTATTACCCCTCATAAGAGTATTTAAAGTAAATATATTTTTTAATTAGCTCATATTACTTATTAGTTTATTATTAATATAGTTTAATGGTATAAGTTTAACAAATCATAGATGCAAATATTTTAAATTTGATCTTTTTATTAAGTCTAATAAAATACTGTAACTATGGGATAGAAATATTGAATGCTTAAAGCTATAGAAATTTATTAAATAATGTTTTAATGTTTTTAAAAGTCAAATGAATATTAACGGGAATTTTGAATTTTACAAAAAATATTACCTTTAAAATTTCATATTGTATTATAGTCAATAATAAGTTATTATTAAAATTTATATATTTAATTTAAGTTACATTTATTATTTTTACCATAAAATAATTCACATGAGTCAGTACAATAATTTATTAAATTTTCTATTTAATAATAATAATCATTAAATAATAAAAATAATTTTTGCAACTAATATTTTATGTTACAATTTAAAAATAAGATTCACTTTTAAAGTTAATGTGAACCCAATTTGCACTGATATACAGTAATTAATATTGCTATTAAACATAATTTAGCAAACATAATTAGTTTACAATATTACAAATTATTTAATGCTAAAAATAATTTTTTTTATCATATTATTAGTTGATACGATTTCAAAATACATAAAACCCGATATTAGCGGGACAGTATGCTTTATCGGCAAGTGCTGGATCAATTAACTTCTTAGTATACATGGTCCTTATACGCATCATTTCACTTAATCCCAGTTTATTGACAATCGCACGCGACTTATCATTATTATCCCAATACCTGTAAATCAAATCCAATGTACGGTTTGGCGGTAAACGCGACACACATTTGCCGACCAATAACTCGGCGATGCGCTCGTTGTCGGCATACAGGGGCTCAACCAACCAATACTGCTGTCGGTCAACCATACATGTCTCTAGTATGAAACAATAGCCCACCACATGTCCCTGGTCATCAATGGCCGCCAAATTGACATTTTCTGTATTTTTATATAAGCCCTCAATGAATAGACTGCGGTCTAAACCGCTAACGTGTTTGTCGTATTCAATGACATCGCGGACGTTGTGTCCATCGATGGACACCAAAGAGATGCCATCGATATTATCGATGAGATTGAGGTTAGAGGTCAGTGGACCCGACGATACAATTAATTGTGTGTCGGAAATACATCTGAAATTGTAAACATCCCGGTAATACTCAAACGTATTTTGTTTATGAGTTGTTAGTCCGAGGTTTCTGTCGCCCATGTGTTCACCAGTCTTAACCCATATTGCTTTGCCTATACCACGACCCCGGTATTCAGGTCTCACGCAATAACCTCCAATGTATGCTAAGTCATCCGAAACATTCACCCCAGCCAAATATCCCAGTAATTTACCTAAATTTTAAATAATTATATTTTTCATATTATAAAGTTTATAAAAGTTTTTATTTAATATTATTATTATTATAACTAGAATTAATATTATTTGTATACTTGTATAGATAATATATCTATAATTTTTTGCAATGTAATGTTGAATAAGGAATTTCATATATTAAGCAAATTACTGTTTTTATTTAATATTATTATTATTATAACTAGAATTAATATTATTTGTATACTTGTATAGATAATATATCTATAATTTTTTGCAATGTAATGTTGAATAAGGAATTTCATATATTAAGCAAATTACCATTACAAAAATGATCATAGAATTTAAAAATAATTATTTATACATTTTAAAATTCATTTCTTAAAAACAAAAGTCATATACCAGTGTCGGTATCCTGGGCCACGTACTGTCCCACGGGGTCGATATTTATAATAACTTCCGGTCGGTATTTATGTATCGGAAAACCGGCTGAATTCCAGAGGTCTCGCACTTCACGGCAATCTGATAATTGCATTTCGCGCACTACATAATTGACCTTTATCATTTTAGAACACATTTTAACTGCTATTCCTATAAATGCTAACAGACTATTCTTGACTTAGTTGTTAAAATGTATATTTTGGTAAATTAATATTAATTATATTAAATGAAATAAAGTTAATTATTATAATAATATTTTGTAGAGTCAGTTGCCTCATATACAACTTTTATAACCAATTTATTATTGAGTTTATTAAAATATATAATTAATATAAATAATGCTATCTATTATATTTGCACATTATACTAGTTATATCATTAATACTGGTATACTCTTATATCAAGGACAGATTTCTGCGCTTATAACATATCAATAGAAAATAATTAAAATAATACATTATCATGCTTGTATTACAAGTCTATTAGGTTTTAATCATTTCTAAATAGTTAGAAACTAGAAACAGAAATATTGAGTATCCATTTTGAACTTAATCTGACATGGTTAATAAATAAATAATCAGTTTATTGATAAAATTATTAAATGGAAAACCTTCAGATATATTACAGTACTAGATATATTATTAGATAGCAAATAAATGTTTAAATTTTGTAATTATCGGCAAACGTGATAACTTGTGTGATTTCAATACAAGTGTGTATCCATATTACACTTAATATAATACATAAATGATTGTTTTATCAGTAATTTATTATCAAACATAATTAGTCCATTTTTTCTCGACAATAAATATCATGTACAGAGTATCTGTATCCTATGAAAGTTAGTTTTTATTATCGCAATTAGTTTTAAGAATCAGTTTATTCATACAACAAAAACATCAACAATAGTAAATGTTTTATTTCACGAATTTCCAATAAAATGTAAACATAATATACTAGTAAGCAATGATCTAATTCTATATAATTCAATGAAAATTTAAATGAAAATTTCAAACAATATATTGTTATGTATTACACTATAATTTTTAAAACACATAAAAGTCAACACTAGCGGGACAAAAGGCTTTATCAATATGAGCTGGGTCTACTAATTTTTTGGTGTACATGGTCCACATTCGGACTATCTCGCTCAATCCAAGTTTAGTGCCTATCATCTGTGACTTTTCACTACTGGTCCAACACCTGTACTTTAACCTCTGGTTTGGCGGCAAACGTGCCACACATTTGCCGACCAATAACTCGGCGATGCGTTCATTATCAGCATACAGGGGCTCAACCGAGTACATTCCGCTATATGTTTCAAGTATGAAACAATAACCCACCACATGACCATGGTCGTCAATTGCTATTAAATTAATATTGTCTTGTATTTTATATAAGCTCTCAATGAGTACACTGCGGTCTAAACCGCTAACGTGTTTGTCGTATTCAATGACATCGCGGACGTTATGTCCATCGATGGTCACCAAAGAGATGCCATCGATATTATCAACAAGTTGTGGGTTAGGGGTGAGGGAGCCTCTCATTATAATCGCAAACCTGTCGGAAATATACCGGAAATTACGGACATCTCTATAAAACTCAAATGTATTTTGTTCAGACGATACAAGTCCGAGATTTCTGTCGCCCAAGTGTTCAATAGTCTTATCCCACAATGCTTTGCCGATACCCCGACCCTGGTATTCTGGTCGCACACAATAAGAACCAATGTATGCTAAATCATCAGTGATATTTACCCCACACATGTTTCCCAACAGCTTTCCTAATCATAAAAATATTATGAATTAACTTGCGACATTTTAAATGTTAGAAATTGTAATTTAGGATGAAGCTAAATTAAAATAATTAAAAATAATTTTATTTTACATTTAAATTTTAATCTTGTTGTATAAAAATATTACGGGGAAAATGTTAAATGAAACGAATCTACTCGTAATTAATCTACTTTAAACAATCAAGAGTGATATACCGGTGTCTATATCCTGAGCCACATACTGGCCGTTGGGGTCGATATTCATAATAACTTGCGATTCGTGTATATGTCTCGACCAGCCGACGGACGCCCAGATTTCATGCACTTCACGGCAATCGGATAATTGCAATTCACGCACTATATAATTGACCTTTGTAGTTTTTTCACACATTTTTCAATCTTTGTTATTAGTGTTTAATACAGTATACTTTAAAATAATTTTAATGTCAACCTGTATAGTTTTAGAAATTATTAGAATTATTAGAAAAATATTAGGTTATTAGGAAATACAACTAAATGCATGATAAATACTAACAATTCACAGAAAAATGTGTTATTTATCTGTATTCAAAATGAAGGCTAAATTATTTGATCTAGCCTTGTTCCACTTGAAAGGCTTCCTGTAAAACAAAGTAAATACAGTATTTGGATAAAATTATGAGTTATAGTATGACAGTTATATATTATAAATATAAATACAATTTCTTGAAAGGAATCGTTCACTCAGTATATAACCAATAATTATCATATATATGTCTTTCTAAAATTAAGATATGTGTTCAGGGTCTAAGATATATTTGTACTTTGAGATATGTCTGTCTTACAGAAAGGTCTATCATAAATATTTTTATTAGTTCTTGTTAAGAGATAAAAATTATTAATATTTTTGAAAACTTATAAAATAATAAAAATAAATTATTAATACTAATGTTTATTTAATAAGGCTTGGTTGAACATTCAGGGTCCGTTAGGTAAAATACTTTGTGACATAAGATACAAATATATTAAAAATGTAAAGTTGGACGGACCCACGCGCCCATACTATCATTGAACAAATAACTCATTAAAATATATTTCTGAGTCAATATATCGGATGAAACCTGATTCTTTCGCATCTTTTAAACTTTTTTTGCTTACAACTAAATATTAATATCTTTTTAACTTAAACTCATAGACTTTATACACTAAAGATTTTGATATTTAGTCGTAAGCAAAAAATGCTTGCAAGAAGCGAAAGATAAGCCTATATGTCAGGTATCATCCGTTATATTTACTCAGATTTATTATTAGACCATTATCTATTTGAATCAATTTTTGTAAATATTTTTGTGAATACAGTATCTGTTCGCGCTTATCATGTTTAAATTATAAAATACAATTATTACTAAACATTATTTTGTATTTATAATATTTACAGTATTCATATTCATATAACAATTTAATCGATATTGAACATCGTCGTATAATACTTTTATATTTATTTTTAAAAATAAATTAAATTGGATTTGCAAAATACAGGTACTTACAATTTTTATGTTTAAAATTTAAAACTTTTAGAAATGAAAAGTATTAACATTTTAGCGAATTTAAACTGAAAGTCATCACAAAGTTTAACCCGGTAATGGCAAAAATAACCCGGCTTTTAGTTTTCAACAAATAAACAAATTCTGTACAAAACACAACATATTTGTATCAAACAGTTTCAATGACTACTGTTTCAACATTAAACCCTTGCGTCAGAGGACCATGATCATTACAATTTTAAAATATGACAATTGAGTTTAAGAAAAACTTACAGATCCTTAACAAATAAATTATAGATAGCAAATAAATGTTTGATTTTTTTATTACAGGTAAGTTATCGGCTGTAAACGTGGTCACTTGAAAATATCAATTCAAATGTGTACCCATATTACACTTAATATTACTTATAAATGTTTGTTTTATCAATAATTAAACATAATTAGTCCATTGTGGCTGGACAAAAAAATCATGTATATTCTATGAATGTAAGTTTTATTATTACAAATTAGTTATAAGAATCTGATTTTTATACAACAAATACAAAAACAATATCAAATGTTCAATTTCACAAACCAATAAAATCAAACATATTATAATAGTATAATAGCAATAAACTAAATCCAATCCAATAACTATATGTAAATTTAATATAATATATTGTTATGTATTGTAATACATCGGATGTAATACAGTATTACACTTATAATTTTTAAAAGAGATAAATGTCAACACTAGCGGGACAAAAGGCTTTATCAATATGAGCTGGGTCTACTAATTTTTTGGTGTACATGGTCCACATTCGGACTACCTCGCTCAATCCAAGTTTAATGGCTATCGCTTGTGATTTTTCACTACTGNTAATACAGTATTACACTTATAATTTTTAAAAGAGATAAATGTCAACACTAGCGGGACAAAAGGCTTTATCAATATGAGCTGGGTCTACTAATTTTTTGGTGTACATGGTCCACATTCGGACTACCTCGCTCAATCCAAGTTTAATGGCTATCGCTTGTGATTTTTCACTACTGTCCCAACACTTGTACGTTAATTTCTGGTTTGGCTGCAATCGTGCCACACATTTACCGACCAATAACTCGGCGATGCGTTCATTAT